TTTAGCATTACTGATCAATTACAGATCAAAACATGTTTTCCTAAGCCCCTGTACCTTGTTACTTTGCTTCAGGTTACTCAGCTCCACTTTATACTTTTCTGCTTCTTCAAGGGCCCTGTTTAACCGAACCTCTGTTGCACTCTGACTGCTTGTGGCCTCCTTTTGTACACACTTTAGATTCTCCAATTCCTATTTAAGAAGGAATGAATCAAAACAAACATTATGAATAATGTTATTTTACTGAATTCCATACAAACATCACATTTACAGCAAGGCTCACCCTTAAAAACTGAAGAGCCTGTGTGCTTCTTTGGCCTGCAGATAGAATCTGTCTCAAAGACAATTAATTACACAATCAAAACATCCCCTTCTCCTTTGAAATCTTGAAAGGGGATCTTTATAATCTTTGTTTTAAAGTTCTCTCAGAACAGTTGTGGAGCTGATCACGTAAGACCACACGACTGACTGGAAAACCTGTATGCTCAATCAGAAAAAAACCATCAGTATGTGCCCTCTGTGGCACTCTGTAAAGGTGGCTGGTATCCCCAGCTGCTCTCTCCTACATGTTCCTTTTACCTCTTTTCCCCAGAGATCACTGCATGCCAAAAAGTTAAAACAGCCTCCTGAAGGTGGCTAAGGGTAGAAACTATTTCATCTACACAAAATAGCTCATCAAGTGATTATGGCAACAATCAGAACAGTTCTCTCTTGTCTCTGATGATAGTATTTTATAGTGCTGTATGTGGGGAAATGAGAAAAAGAGACCAAGCTGAGGAGCAGAATAATGAGATTAAAGATCAGGGAATACAGATAAAAGACAAAAGTAGAAGAAATAAACAATTCTGGCAGAAAGAGAACATCTTGTCATTTGTGAAAAAGAAACAAGACTTTTTAAAGTCTATCAAATTATTAGTAATGGGCACAGAAAGAGTCTTTTAAGCAAATCAGGGTAGAGGGGGGCTTGTTAACCTTTTATCCTCAGACTGCCTTATTTCTGAGTAACTGTTATATTTTCTCCATTTCACACCACTTCTTGTAGTGGTTACTTGCGATTTCCACATTACTTATCCAAGAAATACACCCTAATGGACAAGTGTATGCAGTAAAGACACTTTGGTAAAGTTATGATGGGAACAGATATTTCTAGGAAGCTCACAGTTTTCTCCAAAATGGATGAAGAAAACGGGAGAGTAAGATGCATCTCACTGACCCTTCAAAATCCTGTTGGTGAATGTGCCTCCTCTAAGAGTGCACGAACCCAGATGTTGCTTCAAGGTTTTTATTTTGTTGCTAACCTGTCCATCTGACTGATTACAAACCACATGGGAAAGAGCCCGGCCAGTAGAGCAGCAGAGCCCCCCTGCAGCACCTGCATCATCAGGGAATGCAAACCCATTTGCTGGAGACTGACCCAAAGAAAACAAGCTGCACAGCCTGCAAACCTATCTGTCTTGTATCAAGATGATGAAGCTGTAAAAAGTCAGCTAAACCTTTTGTGCTATGTACTTTATTCTGCATTAATATGAAAAGCTTTGGTATGCAGCCTTGCAAGCATTTAATGACCAAAACCACAGTCTCCATGCAATGCAAATTACATATCAGCTAATCATATCATTTAGTGAAAGAATTCTAATCATTCTTTTAGGGCCTTTTGATATTTACTGTCATACATAATACCTTATCAAGGATTTATTTTTTTTTTACAAGTCATATAGTGAGGATGGTTTTAATCTTAAAAATGCCTGAAATAAGTATTTACCTTTGTAAGTAGGCAAGGTTTCTGCCAATTCTTCAATACTTGAAGTAAAAGCTGGATTAATTTTCTCATATAATGTTTCTCTAAGGGGGGAGGAGGGAAGCACATTAATGTGTTTTAAAACTGCATCCCACTTCCATCCCTGGATTGTCTCCCCTGTTCTGTCATGGCTGAGGCACTTAAATATCAGTAGGGATTGTGATACCAGAGAGCTCATCCACAAGTAACCCGCCCAGCAGGCTTGCTTTTCTCCCAGTAGCAAGCATATACAGCACTTCTATCTTTAGAAAGCTCAGCAACACCTGTCCACCCCCAAAAACATTTGAGAGATGATGTTTGCTTAACGTCAAGCCATCCTTCAAGGCAAATTATAAAACCCTTGCATGAAGCCTTAAAAGGAGTAAGAGAACAACCTTAGTGTTTCCCTGATCTTTATCTAACACTATAGCAGATTGAACTAACCAGTGAGAGAGAACACGGAGGAAAGAATGTTCTTGTAGACAGGCAGTGAAAAAAGACAGAAAAGGTGATGTCATTTATTAGATCAATGAGATGGGGAAAAAGGAGATGCAGGAAAGAAGAGGGTGGAACATTTGTGCAGCATCAGCACTCAGCTGCTGCCCGAGGTGGGTGTTCCAGCAGAAATATTCAAGAGTCCAGTCACCAGAAGAATGAGAATTAAAAATAAACCCATTACCATGTTTTAGGTAAATTGTGAAAACTAGGTGAGAATCTGTGCCGAGGCACATGAAAGAAAAAGTAGCTGGGGGATTAATGAAATTGCATAAATTGTGGGAAATCTGAGGAAGCTTGGGAAAACACATATCACAATCAGAGTCTTCCATCATTTATATTGCAGCAGAAATCACAACAAAAGCAATAAAAGCCCAAAAGTCAGAGATCATATTTGTGCTATCTCAACTATGCTTCCTCCATACTGAAAGTGTGAGTTTTGAGTCTACAGGCACAACAGTACAAACTCAGGCCCATGTTCACAGGAAATTATCTTTACACGTATGTCTAGAATTAATCTACAGCTACACTAATTATACGGTGTTGAATAAGACTTCATAACTAAAGAATAAACCAGTTTTCAGATTGCCAAGTCTATAGGAAATTTAAGCAGTTTCTGCAAAATTATTTTTAAATGCATGGGTTTGGTAGATATTTTTTTATATCAGAAAAAAAAGTAAAATAATTTCTGAATTAGCAGAGAACCATTCATTACATGCACTTGCCTTTTTATGCCTTATTAGTATTTTCAACAAGTACCATTATTTGTCATGATCGTGTCTGATCAGTAACCTTGAGAAATTCTAGAAAACAAAATCTATTAGGAACAACTGAAGCAAGTGAGGATGGTAAATGCAGAGCAAAGTGACCATATTTTGGATATAGCAGCTGTACAGCAGAAGTGAATAAACTTTTCATCACAACAGACATCTAAATACTGGGATAAATTTTCTAACTAACTGTGGCTGTGTATAAGAACCAACATAGACTGTCTAAGGAAATTATGGAAATTACCATCACAGAAGGTTTTAAGTATAGGCTAAACTTATTTCCAGGAGGGTCTGGATATCATCTGTCCTGTCTTGGTTGAAGAGAATGGCCTAAATGATTTTGTAAATCTTTTAGTCCTATTTACTGTGAATTGATGAACAGTATGAGTACTTCTGTTGAATATTTTTTTGGCTGACAGAATCAACCATCAAGGTACTTATTTGAGGGAACTTAAAACCTCCAAGAATCTGCACAAAAGAACACACAAACTTTATAAACATTTTAGTTTAAAAACGCTAGAACTACAAAACTTAGATTGTAAGTTATAATGCTAGAACTACAAAGCTTAAGATGAAAGCATGGCATGGCTATACAAATGTGTAATATGATTTAATGGAAGTATGACAAGACTGTGTCAGGCTGAGTTGTGTTCTGTTTTCCTCATTTTTTAAGAGAAAACATTCTCCTGGTTATACAGCATATGTGACACAATACTGTGTATATCACATGATGTTGAAGTCCACCTCTCCCACTCTGAGTAATTAAACTACGTGCTGCTCTTAGATGAAGTTCCAACCAAGCAAATCTGTGTATGCAGCCATATGCTACAACTAGGCACCTATATAATTTTGCATATGTGGCCTACAGCAGGAGACAGATTAATTTTGATTGTTTCATTTTCAAGACCAAAGACACATGCTTTCTGCTACCTGCAGAAGACACTAATGTAAGCCACAGGTGAGTTTCTGGTTTGGTTTTTTAAAGTTCACCAGGTTCTGTAGTTGACAATAAAACTTATTACCAGAAATCATTTTTGACCATTATAATTAAAACCAGAAAAATAAAATTTCCCTGTATTTTTCAAGATTCCTCTCTGAATCTGAAAGTGGTTTCTGAAACAGTTGTTTTGTCTCTTGCAGTTCTTTTACACAAGAACTTAATTATTTTAAAATACAGAAATGTATGATGGTGGAAGCAGAAGAAAAGCAATTTATAAAATACATTATCTCCTCCTTTCAAAAAGTGATTAGACCATTTAAATTACAATTTCTAAAACTACTATCAGAGATTGAAACACTAATGGGATCAGTGGAAACGCATCTATCAAGCTATGAGGATGTGATGCAGTACTTTTCCCCTTTTGTGAGATAAATGAGACTAACATCTGCAATACCTTTTCTAGCGCGGTGACTTCTTGTTGTAACCCTTGACTTTTTCTGTGTGCTTCTTGTGACAATGCTTTGTACTTCTCGCTCTGAGAACATTGCACACTGATGGTTCGTTGCAGTCTGGCAATTTCTCCTTCAGTTTCTTTAAGCTGAGACTTTAAATTCCGATTTTCATCATCCTGTTTGACAGTAATTAACAGAAAGAAACCCCAACTTGATTATTGCAAGGAAGCAGCAGAATAATGCAATAGTAACATTTTGTAAATAAAAGACAGTAAATATATATGTATAGTACACATGGAGATCACTAGTTTAAAAATTGTTATTTTTAAACTTTCAGATCCTTCATGATGGACTTCACAACAATTTCAAAGAGAGGAAGGAACTACAAGAAGCTAAGAAAACAAAACACGGATTTACCAGGACAACAATTCAAAACATAGGAACGCTTTCCTCATTTGATTTTCTGCAGGCTTTACTTGGAAGTGTCTTATAGCGGTATGTAAAACATTTGATTTCTCCTAGTTCAAAGGTTTTGAAAACTATGGAAATGTTACAGAATAGTGTGAATAACAGAGGCACACAGGTATTTTGTGACACTTTTGTGAGAATAGCTAAATGCACTCACTAGGAAAAATTCTTGGAAAAAGAACAGAATATAACTACTGGTAAATCAATCCATTATGTTTTAGGAGATTATCTGGTTTTGACTTAAAAGCAAGCTAATGATCCAGGATACATCAAGTATTCAAATTCAAGATTCTCTTAACATCAAGTAAATCCTGTATTAGATTCATGACCTTACTGGCAATTACATCCCACATTAGGCATTATAATTTCAGTGCATTTTTCTTTTCTAACCTTTTAAACATGATAAGTGAATATTAATGTTATTTCAGAGATACATTATGCCCTTCATTTCTTTAAGAAAAAGAAATCAAGGCACACACAGAAATGGAATTTCCATGAAAACAATTTCCTCTCCTCCCAGCAACTAGGAATACATCCTTCTCACCTGGGAAATGTATGTGCTTTACTCTAAGTTTTATGTGCCCATATGCACCTCAGAAGTTCCTAGTTCTTTAGACTTAAAACAGATTTATTGCTTCCTTAGAACAACTTGACTGTGAATTGGAACAAAACCAGAATCTACCTCAAGGATTTGTGTATCTGAAATTTTTATGATCTTCTGAATGTAATTAAGATATTTTCAGACCAGAGAAACTAGAGCCCAACACGATATGTTTAGATACAGAGTGCTATGGGACCAGGACAAGAATAAGTACCAGGTCATCTTCTGTCACCTGCTATAGTAAGAGAATTCTGTGGTATTTTTGGCATGAAATTAGGAAGTTCAATAACTACTGACGAAATTATATTTGATTTGAAAATGAAAATGCCTTTAAAATCTAATAACAATGTTCTCCTGATCACAGCATGAAAGTACTGAGATGCAGAAGCACCTGTATTGATACAAGTGAAATAAAGGATAAAGTACAGATATAAAATACCAAAAACTAATTCCTTCCAAAGATTTTCTCCAGGTACTTATCTCACAAAACTTACTTAACATAATCCTTCTCCTTAACTCTAAACTAAAAGCTTGAGAGAAAAAATATAGGTGGTTTGCCATATGTTCTGAATGCCATCATCACATCTGGGCCTGAGGAATAGGTGCAGAAAAGCATTCTGAAGTTGAGAGACTACAAATAAGAATGATCTAATAGTGGAAAATGGAAAGTTAGTTCAAAGTTCAAAAATCTTCCTTGATTACAAATACATGAAAAAGAGACGATCCCTCTGGCAGGCAGACACAAACTATTTAAGGTTTTACAGTTCAATGGATGTTTAAGCATTACCTAAAAACATATTGCTAGATAGTGCAGATCATAAAACTCACTTGTATTACACTCTAACACTAAAGTATCAGTGTAGCTTAACAATGCCTTAACTTCAGCCTGATCTGCCCAAATATGTAATTCCAAATACAATCCTGTGCATTAAGTACAATCTGAAGAATGGAGAAAGCCAAATTTCTGTTTTGATTACAGTATTCCACTTAAACTGGATCACAGATCAGCTCCAGGCACCACTCCTCTCTGTGTACCAAAATCCGTATTTGACTACTAGCTTATCCTCCTCCTTTTCCTGAGGCTCTGCTAATGCTCTCCATTCCAGCAGTGATGGCTAAGGCACGCTGCAACACCAGTGTTCCTACAGCTGGGGCATATCTTCGTTCCCAGTGGTTCTTTCCTGCCTGCAAGCTTTTAGCCCAAGATCACACAGCTAGAGAAACTACTATCCTTGATTCTAAATTCTTAGGAAATCTAAAAAATAAAGAACCTTATCTTTTAAAACTTAAAAGGGAAAGGCTGAGGGAATTCCATTGTGATGGAACTTACTACATTTCTACAGACAAGAAAACTCAGCTCTCACCTTCTTCCTGCATTCACGTACTACACTAGCCAGCTCTTCTTGCGTAACACGTAACTTTGCCTTAAGAAATCTTACTTGAGCTTCTGTGAACATAAAAAGTTACATTTAATATCCACAAGTATTCACTATACAATGCAGTAAAGAAGTAAGACTGATACAAGAACTCACATTCATAATCTTGTTTTTAAAAAAACACTACACTGTTTTTAATTATTAACAGAGGAAAATAACTCAGATTCCTAAATAAATATTTCAGGTTTCTCACTCTTAGGCAAAGCTTTGTATAGATTTTTTCTTCTAATGACTGAACTCAGCATTTTTAAAATATAAAAGACTCATAATTCAAAATTGAAACTTTTGGCATACTATGCTATACATTACAGCATTCCTTGAGATTGACGTCAAGAAAACTATATTGTAGGGTGTTTCTACACTGCAATCAATCTGTGGCTGCAATTTTTGTAGTTACACCCAAAGTAGTTTTAAACTGCTCGCAAGGAATTAAATGCAGAATGCAAAAACCTCCTAACAGGTAAACACCCCTCCCACAGAGTAAACTATGCTTTTTTAAAGTACACTATTCAATTCATAGTCTAAAATTAATTTAATCAAATATTTTTGCAAATGAAGTATTTTATTGCTCTTTGACAGCTAAGAAATGTACTACTGTCATGATAAAACAAGCTGTGTGTGAACAATTATGTTCTTTTCCCCTGTATTCCCCACCCTTTCCCAGATCACTCACATGGAACTCCCCCTGAACTTGCACAGGCAAAAAAACATGGAAACAGTATGAGGCTCAAGTTGAGCAAATAAGAATAATGGTTATTCACCGTAGGTACAAGGGGAAAAGAATAAAGTGGAGGAGGATTATCAGGAGCTGCATGGAAGGGATGGATGGTTGCATGTGTTCACTTGTTGGAATAGGAATTATTTTAATTTCACCCACCTTAACTGCCAATTGCAGATTAAGTTGCAACTCTGCAGAGGCCAATTTTAAGTAGGATTTAGGAAAACACCACCAAAAAAAAAGCAAGATACAGACCAACTTTTTTCCTCATGTTACATCCTTGCTAGTTTCTAGTAACAAGTAGCTGTCCTGAGATGGAGACCATATTGAATCCACCAAGTTAATACTCTTTCAGGTACTTCTATACTATTGCTTGATTTTCTTCATAATAAAACATAGCATAGTTTGGCATTCACAATATCCTGTGGCAATAAGTTGGCTAATTTAATTATGCATTGTGTGAAAGAAAAACACTTTGTATAGCTTGCTTTAAATCCAATTTAATGTGGCGTTTACTAGTGTTTGCATTACAAAAAGACAGTTTCCCTCTTCCCATTACTGTTTTCATTACGGAATTTTTCATACTGCCCTCATTTGGTTTGTTTTCAAACTGAAGATTCAAATTCAAGTCATTCCATGCTTTTAACTGCTACTATATATTCCTTCCTAGTCCTAGATCCTGATTTTGAGATGGGTTATGCAGGACTGTGTGTCATACTCAAGATGGGGTAGTATCAGTTACAGAATAGCATAATTCTAACAGCACGATATTTTGTTTCCTGTTACCTTCTGAAGGATTTCTAACGATCACTTTGCCTTTTCCACCGTGAAGCATTAAGTTTATGCTTTTGGAGATGTCTTAATTGGTAATAACTAAACAAAGTCCATCTCAGAAGTAGGTGTAACTGGAGGTGGTTTCTCAGCATTACTTTGCACTTTTTAATGATGAATATAAACCTGCATTCTATTACCTCACTCAGTACTGAGATTCCTCTACAACACTTCAATGCCAGTTTCAACTAGCTTAGGTTGTTGTTTCATATGCAAATATACCAGCTATATTCCTTTTTTCCAGATTATTTTTCTTTATATTGAACAATGTAAGCCCCATGCAGAGCACTCCATGGCTATACCACTACCTGCAAAACATGGTTGGTTTTTTTTCCATTTTGTTTCCTCTTTTACTCAGTCCACAGACAACATCTCTTCCATTTTAGACAGCTCTGTGTCATTAAGACCACTTACTACTAAGCCTTGTTGAAAACCCAAGAGCACAGCTAGGACCAGATCAGCTTTTGAAGGTGGCTATGATGCAAAACTAGTTTGAATTCACACAAGGGGTAAAGAAAATTAAACAACTAGTTTCCTAATGGGTTGCTTTTAATCACCTGATGAGGCTGATAAGGGGAGGGGTATCACTTAATAGGATGGTCTTAATTCATAAAGTAACCAGCAGTTCAGAGAATGGTAGGCAGGAAAGGGGTATCTGAGAGATTTTAATGTTCTGATTGAACGAATAGTTGTCTTGAATTCCTGAGGTAATCTGAAGATTAACATGAAATGTGACAACACAGCCAGGTATTTTGTTCATGTGTGTGGCTATATTAGATAAAAATAGAGCTTCATGTCCAGCCTTCTATGTGTCTGTGTGCTTCTAACTGCTTCTTACCACAGAGTTGAGTTATAATCCACAAAAACAGGCCCTGAGAAAAATGATGTGTAAAATCCTGTGTTGGCAGAAAAATGGCTGCACTGTGACAACCTCTGATCATGAAATAAAGATATAGAACCTAAGTCCAAGATGAGCACTGCAAGAACCTGAGGGAAAGGACAATGCTATCGAACCTTATCAGCCATTGGCCTAAAAACTATCACAGGCACATAAGCCCAAGGAATCACTTTACTGAGAGATTCCAACTAAGGGATCAGCCTGCTCTTTTACAAGGGCCTATTTAGTTTTCTACCTTCACTTCAAACTGTTGGATTAAAACAGGAGGTTTGGGGCATTTTGTACTACTGCAGTGAATCTCCGACTTCATGCTTACTTAGCATTATAAGAAACTATATAAACTCACTTTTATTACATCTGAGCCAAAAAGACAGATGTGCATCATTCCTTTAGCTTCACTGGCAAATACTGCAATACCCTTTCCTACTCTATTTCTAGGACAAACATAAACACACCATGTGGAGTGGGAAAGTAGCTGGAGGATTCTCATTCAAGCACTGTAGTTGAACCATTACTTCATTTAAGCCACTTACTCAGATCCACAGCATTGATCTGAGGAAAGGCTTTTTCCTCTAAGGGCAGAATCTGTAAAAAACAGGAGTTAATCTATTTGGAAATAGAAGCTTAGCATCGTGTATTTCTATTCCCACAGTGAAATGAATCAAATGTCAGGCACAAATTTGACATATGTAACCTCCCAAATATCATCCTACAAAGGTAAAAATCAAGATAAAAATTAACTTTTTCGCATGATTATTCATATGTGATCTGATCTTTTTCTAGGATTACATAAAGAAGAAAAATCTTCCTGTTCTTTTGTCTTTAACTAAAGATCATTAGAACTTTCCCTGCAATTCCTACAGAAACTCTTCCTTTTTCTCTTTTTTTTTTTTTTCCTGCAGGAGAACCCATTTCTAACAGTGAGGAAGGAAGACTAAAACTACTTAACAACAGGAGGAAACCTACCTGCTCCAATTTCATTTCCAGCACTTGGAATAGTATCATCATCTACACAATCTGGTAAGACTCCTTTCTCTAGTTTTTCCTCGATTTTGCTTATTGTTTTTGCTAAAGAAAAATCTGTGCAATCCCCCAGTGCTGCAACAGCATCAGCACTTTGTAATTCCAGGTTTCTTGCTTTTGAACTAAAAAAAAAAAGCAGACCTTGGATTTTAAATGTATAATAATAATTTTAACAGCTACAAAAATATAGTGTATTTGCTATTTATAAGAGTATGCAAAGTTATTTACCTAATTCAACTTCATTGCTTGCATTCATACGAAAGACACATTGATGGCAATTTCTCACTTTCTTTATGTAAGAGTCCTTTACTGTATTCCACATAAACAATTGCATGGTTTTACATATTATAATGTAGAGGGCAGAAAAGCCAGTACCATTTTCTACTGAGAAGACTCTGGCATGATCGTCTCATCCAATAACTTCATAATTAAATCAGAGTAAAAGTAAGAAAAGGAATGTTAACTTGCCTTTAGCTATGGTTCTTTGCCTTAAATTCTGCTATTTCTCCCTACCCCCCATGTTAACTTCAAGGACTCTCTCCATTCTAGCTATACTCCTACCTTACCATAACTTCTGTATCATGCCTGGCCTAGGAAACTTCATTGACCCTGGAAGCAGCATACCGAAGTTTTCATAAAATCAAAACACACAGTGGGTGACACAACTGCTACACAGGTTATCTCCTCATCTTTCTTTTACAAAAAGATAAAGTAGTTCCTACAGGATCTGAAACTTCTAAATTATTATTCCAGTATATCCTTATCCCAGTGCAGCTGCCAATCTCCTAGCTGCTAACTTTCTCCCACAACTTTGGGTTCACCCTGCATCTGCACAATTCCACCTCTAATCTCTTCAAGGGGTGCTAGCCTGACAGTATCCCCTGAACTGCCCAAGAGAGGTCCAGAGGGTCCACAAGTGACTTACAGGTCCTGAAAGACAACCTCATCCTGTGTTAATTACATGTTCTGTCTCTTTGCAGCCAATTTTCATCCTGTTTTGGTATTTGTCCAAATTTTTGGCAATTTGCTCCCAGGATTTTATGCATTTCTCTACTTTTTTCTTTTGTCCAGATCTCTTCAGCTTGGAACTCCTGAAAGCTGTAGCATTATTACTGACTCTGTCCTGTACTGTGAGCCCAAGACTCACCAAAATAAAGGAGACATTCCAGAGCCTTATTTCCCGTCACAAGTCTGATCACAAATCAGTCTGCACCAGCTAAGTGTGCTCTCTCAGGTTGATTCAGATTATGTAATTCCCACATGTATGCTCCTTAGGCATCCTTTCACTTGAAGAATTAAAGAGTTTAACTGTCAGCCTTGAGAATGCTTGAGCAGAAAGCAACAGTTGTAATATTAATCACACATATTCCCTAATAATTTTTGGTATGCTCTCTGCAAGCAAACAGAGGTAGCTACATGGTGGAGCTGACTGAGCAGGACCAAAAGTTTGATACATTTATTTACACAAGTATATATAAATATAAAACCATACATGAATGAAAATAACCTGACAGACAAAAATAGCAACTGAAATATTTTATTACAAACTAAAAGAGATGTATAATATACCTTGAAGTTGTTCTTTTCCCCTTAGTTCCAGAGTACGGTCTGTTCTGAGCCACTGGCATGGAAGCACATTTCTTCTTGTTTGCTGGCTACAATTTGTTTCAGAAAGTAGTGGGTTTTTTTTAATTAGTTAGGAATCACTTTTTTTTCCTTTTTTTCCTAGTGTCTTGTGGGTTATTTTTGTTTGTTTTCTTCATCTATTTAGACTCAAGGATACTTTTCAAACTTTCAGAAGCACAGTTTTTCAGTTTTATTGGCACTCATCTTCATCTTGCTAATTTTATGACCACAGGCCCAAATTATAATACATCCAGTGGGCATTTATTTGTGGGAGGTTTTGCACACATACTCATAATAAATTCAGGCATAAGCAAGACTCTTGGCCATCAAGATATTAACTACTGAACTGTCACAAGAGTGCATTTATTTCAGGACTTTATATTTTCATGCCTTCAAAGCCATGCTAATTTTTACACATTTTTTGTTTTCATCTTGCAAATTCCCTGTAGAAGGAAGATCTAACAATATTTTTGTTACTTTCACCCAAACAAATATTCTTCCACAATTAAGGGGGTTTTATTGTATTCTCATAAATGAGGACAATATTTTGGAAGTTTTAGCTCACCTCCCAAAAGATTCAATATAACTGTAATTAGAGACCACTGAGTTTGCTGCTATTCTCAGTCTCCTTTTTCCATTCTATTTCCCTTCCTGTACTCAGTTATTTTGACTACTTGTTTATTATTATACCTAAAAGACAGTAGCACTGCCTTTAGTATTATACTGGTGGAAGAGGAAAGAGGAGAAAAGGAAAAAATTATTACGTTCTAATACTCTGCACTTAATTCGATTATCCAAACACTGAATAATTCTGTGACTGCTTTACAGAAGAGGAAACTCAGAACACAAAAATGAAATGTAAGTCCACTTAACCACCAGTGGCACTGAGAAAGCCTGGTAACACAGTTCCTGTAGCACTGTTTTGAGCATCATTTCCTTTTGGCTTCCTACCCATGTAAGTCCCCAGTGTAGAACAGCCTCAAAACCAGAAGTAATATGTGGAAATCATACTAGAAGACAAATTAACCAGGATAGTTTTAACTCTGATACCTTAGTGTGTGAATGTGTAAGAGAAGAAACTTGAGGACAGAGTGGATCTCTGCAGAAAAGAATTAAAATAATTAAAAATTAACTGAACATATATAACAAAATAAACATTTTACAATAAAAATTGACACTCCCCTGCCAGAATTAGGAGAATAACATTTTATATGTCTAGAATAAATATAGCTAAGGTACTTCAACATAAATTCAGTCTCATTCTCTGCCCTTCCATTCTACCTTATTTGCTATCTAAATCACCTGCTGAGTCTAGAACACCTAATACACCAGTTTACTTAGGTACCACAATCTGAATCTCTTACAATTCAAGTGACTGCTGCTTATCTGCTTATTTGGCTGAAAACCATGCTGCTTAGTAACTAACTTCAGGTTTAATGATTATTTTTTAAATCTGCTGGAAAAAAAGCAGAAAGTTTTAGCATGCTGTGTACTATCCAAGTCCAGTTTCTTGTCATATATGTTGCTTTTTTGCTTTCAGAATGAATTATGGGCATCTGTGCTACTGCACTGAAAGGCTACCTTTTTACTGTCCTTTGTAATTTTTTACTTCAATTAAAATGCTGGCTTACAAAAGATTTGGAATAAAATTTAAATTTAAGCACACCAAGTCACCTCAATTTTTTTTCCCCAGCTGGTTTGAGCAAATGTTTAGATATTGCTTTTAAAAATTTCACAGATATCCATTCATTAACAAGAATTATCTGCACAAAGCTCCATGTTTTATTAAAAAACCCAAACAAACAAACAAAACCAACCCCCAAAAATCCTAACAAAACCCCCAACCAACCAGCAACAAGAAGAACAAAAACACAACTGGAGAAATCATCTCTGTGTGGTTGGCAACAGACTTCAAGAATAGGATGATTAGTTTTCGTCTATTTACCCTATTTTCCTCATGCTTCCTTCCTATTGGTTGACATTAGGAGCATGCAGAAGGTGAGGATTTGCTGCCATAGAAATAGCAGTTTTATGTTATTCTGAAAAATATGAAAATACAATGCTCTCTGTACTCAAGAAAACAATAATGTTCTTTCCATCAATAGACTAATCTGTTCCTACTATAGCTGTTGTCTCAGGGCCTTCTTTAAAAAGCAGAAACAAAATAAACCCTCATTGTTCACTAAATTCCTCAAACTTGTTTAACCTTAACGATTTATTTCCACTTCCCCACACATGACAACCCATTTTTAAAACCTCATAATATAGTTCTATAGTTGTGCCATAAGTGAAATGGATGTGTAAATCCTGAAAAGGTATATAAATAAGTAGCTAGAGTATTGTGGCAATAGTGAAACAGAAGCTAATGTTTAACAATTCCATCTCTGCATGTAAACAGGAGATGCATGTGCATGAGCAAACCCTTTGTGTTTGCTAATCCTATTCAAAGCCTATAGCATGCTTGTCCATGCGCACAGTTCCCATGCCATGAGCCTGGCAGTGCTCTGAGGAGTGAAAGTGTAAACAAAAGCTGATGTCAGTGTGGTGTCACTGGAGCTGCTTTGTCTCTATATAATTCAAGTTTCTGTGAAAAAAACGATGCAATAAAACCTCCAGAACCACTTATTTTAAAATATACACTGACTTTGAGTGACTTATATTTGTTACCCTTTTTTCACTTTGCTTAACAATTATTTTTTCTCTAAACCTGTCTTTTTTCCCCCCCTTGTACTACATCTTTCTTCGCTTCAGTTTCTCCCCATCTTTTCAGTTGCTTTAATGTTCATTCTCTGTAATGAAATCAATGGAAATTCCAAATGGATGTTTCAAAAATCTCTGAAATGTTTCCTTTAGATTTATGGTCTATCTGCTTGCACAATTTTGGAAAAAATAAATGGTCTAAATTAAATATTAAATACTTGGAACTAATCTAATTGAATGGCCTCAATGTTCACTCATGGATAATCAGTGTGCCTAATTCCTAGCACACATTTCTATTTTTTTTCACTACAGTATAGGATTTCAATTCCTCTGTCACATAAATATCTGCCAGCACACAGATTGTGGTTGGTTTAAGGTGTTTTAATTTATGAAGGTAATTGGTAGATCAGCCGCTTCGCTGACATGCAAATTGCCAATATTTGTTTTTAATTCTTCCAGCACTCCCATTTATTTCAAATGCATACCATCAAAGCTATTAACCCCCTTTGTGAGGCTGAACCCTCCAATCACATTACCTCATAAACCAGCCCTATAACTTAACTCCAGTTTGAAGTTCTTAAAAATCTTCTGCTGTTCAAAATCCATCTAATAGAACATAAAAGTAAAGCAAGAT